TTGGCCTTTTTTACTTCAAGTTGGCAATGATAAAAAAGGCCAAATCGGCAAAGCAATTTTTTTTTTTTAAGTATTGAAAAAAGGGATGAGGGTAAAGGAGAGCGCCCATAAACCACCCTGATAAATTCCCACTGATGGGATCATGAGACCCTTGACTGCGTATATTACTTCTTTCGAGAATGAATCTAACTAGGTTGACATAATGGTCGCTTACCGAACCCCCAATATAAATTTCAAAACTTAAACCTCCAACCCTATAATAAAAAATTCGATTAGTATCCCACTAGACCATCTCAGTTAGTGGTAATCAGCAAAGCAATTGTATCTAAGTCTAGGGTAGAAAAACAAGACATGTTGCATGACCTCATGTTAATTCTACAATCTTATCGAATAGTGCATAGAAAGATTGGAGAGAGAAGGAAAAGGGAGGGGGGGTGGGGGGTTTAGTTGTTAGAATTTGGCCTTTTTTGCTTGAGAGATGGCTGTGATAAGAAAAGTTTACCAACATTTGTAAGTTTAAATTTAGATCATTGAACAAAGCCAAATAGGCATCACATTACCTTTGTGTTTGTCTTGGGTAAAACCCAACATGTTGCGTGCTTCCTGTTAATTCTACCATCTCATCAAGTAGTACATGGTAAGATTAGACAGAGTGAGAGAGAGAGAGAGAGAGAATGGTGTAAAATTTATTAAAATTAGTTAATACTTTGCATGCTCAATTAATTAGGATGGTTGGATCATTAGGTCTGCTAAAAAAAAATTGATAACACTCTTGGATTTAACCATTCATATTGATTTGTGATGTAGAAGTTAGGTTTTCACTCCAAAAATAAAATGATAAGCAAAATTTTGCCAACTTTTGTAAGTTTTAGATCACAAAACAGCCAAATCCCACAAAGCATCAAACATTGTTTTTAAGATAACACCATAGTACGTAAAAATAATTTGAATACCATACAGAAAGTTACTATAATTTTTAAATGTAAAATTGCAACCGATTAAGGTTATTCATGATCAATTGTAATTTGATTTTTATAAATTATAATTTTTATTATAAATTAGAATATTTTGAGATTGATAAGGTATCGTAGTGTTTCTTTTGTTTTTATGGGTGTGCCAAAAACAAGACATGTTGCAATTCTACCATGTCATCAAACAATGCATTTAGAGAGAGAGAGAGAGAGAGAGAGAGAGAGACAAACACAGTGTAATAGCTGTTAGAAAAAGGGATTTTAAGTTAATGGGTGGCAATAAGACAAGGAAACAAGGGTTAAAGGGGAATGTACGTGGGTATAGGGAACATGATAAGAAGATTTGATTAATTCTAATCTCATAGGGTTTGTTTTTCAGCATCCTATTCTTTCTTAATACTAAATCAAACTTTTCTGTCCTACCAACCCATCGACACGTATATATATCAATATATACTTTAGTCTCCCCGACATGATGACTAGGTTGCATGAGGACCCAAACATGGCCGCCAAACCCATCGTGTCCAGCTCAGTGCCATTTTACCCGCATCCAGTGTTATCAATTTCTGGTTCTTTAATACCCCCTCCTCCATCACACCCCCACCCACACCACCCCAAAGGCTAGCTAGCCAATGGGTCATTCTGAGAGACTGCTGACGTGTTATTATGCTCATTCTAATGATAAATTCTAACCCTAAATCTTGTGTTAATTGATTCACGATCATTGATTTTAGAAATAATAAAGTATAATAAATTTTACATGTGTCGTGTTCTGCTTGACCCTTTTGTTGAGTATGTGGTGATAAGTTTTAGGGGTTGTTTGTCAAGTTTTACTATTTTGTAGTGATTTGGTTTAGGTGGTCAAATTCAAACTTATTCAATTGGATTTTTGGGATAATTTTGAATTGGAATATGATATATCCTTACCCTATCCCATGATTAAGAATGGTTGAATAGGAATAGAAAAAACATGTGAGCTTCCCAATGTAACATCAAATCAAATGTCATTTTTTATAATTATAAAAGTATTTTGTACAATATTGTCCTTCATCCAATGACGTGTAATTTGATGCAATGACATATTAGTAATTTTAATTATAAGCATTTTAATCTTATGGCTTTACATAAATCCATATACGTGGGGCCGAAAATAGCTTAATTGTTTAATCTTTCATGCTTGTAAAAAGACCTAAACATAGGTTATGTCGACCCCTAGACTATTTTTTTGGTTTTTCGGTGACTTGACCTTTATTATAAATTTTTTAGTCACGAGGTCCAACCATTTGGACAAATTCAGTTCAAAAGACTCATTTAGTGTTAGTTTAATAAAAATAAAAAGGTTAATGACACACATACAAATTATACATTTCAAAATTCAAATTTCCTACGCTTTGAATCTCTCCAAATTAGGACTTTCTCTAGCAAAATAAGTAACCTTGAAGATATTGTTTTTGAAAAAAAAATAAAAATTTATTAGAAATAAAAAATCAAGGCTTACAATTTATTAAGAGAGATAAAAGTAGACAAAAAATGAATACTTTAAATAGTTTACTTCACTAAAAAATACTAGTGAAATAGTGATATCGTTGTCCAATTTCACTATTAATGGACGGTGAAATTGAACAGTAACAATGAAAATTCATAATCACCGTCACTGTCTAGTTGTCTAGAATTTGAACAGTAAAATTGGCTTGTAAAATAAGATGGATTGGTAGTTTTGGGACAATGAAATATGAATTACACTTTCTAGTCTATTGTCATTTTGGTCTAGAAAAAAATAGAGCAATGAATCAGTAAACAAACTAAAGAAATCGAAGAAGACAAATGAAGTCTGTGAAAAAATCAACCCAAAAGTTAAAAATCAGATTTGAATTTGAAGGAAGAAGAATAATTTGAAGTCTATCTGTTTGCACTATTATCTACACTTACTTATATGCAGGATGACAATTTCTTACTGTTTATTATGATATATCAGCATATGTACCTACTAATCTTCCTTAGATATGAAGAAAAGAGAGAAAAGATAGACATGGAGAATTGAGAGAAAAGATATAGATACATTAGATATAGGATAAAGTAATAGAGAAGAGATATAGAAATTTAAGGACGAGAGGAAAAAAAAGTTTAAAAAATAATAAGAGTGATAGTGGAATTACATAAAAGGGAGAGAGGGGAATTTAACAAAGAAAGTATGACGGAAGAGAGAGCAGAGAAAGTGAATGATACCTAATTGACTTTTAAAGTTGTTTTGGACTCTTTTATTAGTAAAATTTAATTTTTAAATTCTTTTAAACTCGGTTGTTAGTAGTAGACTTACATAGAATTTTTATATTTATGACTATTTATATAAAAAAAAAAAAAGTCAAGTCCAACATTCATGTAGTTGCTAGATTGGATTTTATTGTGAAATATATGTCACATTTAAATTTTTTCTTTTGTTGGAATAATATCTTAATGTTATAATACAAACAATACTTTTATAATTTAATTAATCTCTTTGACAAAAAATATAATAAATTTATAATATATTCATATGTGCAAATTTTCTAGAATGATAATTTTATAATGAAACTCCTCTATAAACAAAAGAGGAAATGTCAAAAGAAGCTAAGCAACGGTGGCGCCACCATCCAATAAGAAGACGATACATAGGTAAAGTGGATCTCACTAATCATATGTATTTGGTAATTAGATGTGGTGGTTACTAGTACTTATGAAAATAGTGCGGTTCATTTTACCTATTTCTAATCTTTTAATTGGATAGTAATACCACGTGGATGTGTTGGCATGGTGTTACCATTGCATTGAATATTTACTCGCTAAGAAAATGCCTAAAAAATGACATACTAAATAATCAAATAGGGGTAGAGTAGATTAATAATTAGGTTTAACAATAATTAAAATAAAAAATAATTATTTGACACGTAATTTATTGTTCAATTAAATTATAAATATAATTTAAATTTTTTATAAAAAAAATATTAATTAAATATATTCACATACAACACACGTCATGCATGACTATTTATTATTGTAAGGATTGACAACTATGGATCATAGAGCTTATACATTGCTCATATATCTATCTAGTAAGTTAAATTTTTATTCTCTGCATATTTTTTCCCCATAAATATTATATCACCAAATTTTATCACATGTTCAATCATTTAATATTTGTTTAATTTTGTGTTTAACATAATTTGTATTTCATATATTGTTCATGCACGATAGTGTACACATGTTGATAAAATTTTGTCAGGTTCTGTATTTTGAGAAAATTTTGACACAATTTTTAAGAAAATAATGGGTAGAAATTAATTTTAAATGATATAATCAAATAATCGAAGAAATACAAATTATTCTTTGGTATAGTGAGATTAATTATTTGAACACTCAAATCTTATGTTATGTCGTGCCTCGAGGCATGGATTATTACTAGTATTCTTAAAACCTTGAAAGTACCATCTTGAAACTTTAGAGATAAAAGATGACTAATTTATACTAACTTCTAATTTAACTATTTTTTTTAATTTCGTCTATTAAACTACCCTTTTTCTATAAACCAAATGGCTGCTTAGGGTGGACGATACTAAGAAATTGATTTTCGATATCAGGCTTTCACTTTTCGGTGACTAAAATGACTACAAATGCATAAATAAATATCTATAACTATTACTCAAATGATACCAATTTTTTTTTATGGTACCATAACGTTATCCTTCCATTAAATTACGGATTTTAACATGGTTAGTTAATTTATTTTTTGTCACTATTTTGAACTTTTATAAGGGAGGAGATAATGAGGTTTGAACCTGCGACCTAACAGTTTAATGGCGAGTTACAGTGACTATTAGACTAATCGTCAGCTAATTTTTTTTTTTGAAAAGAATATAGTCAGTTAATTGAATATTATGTGATTTTAATCATTTATAAAACATTTTTTTTTCTGAACTGGTCATTTATAAAATGTTTAATGTTTGGATTTGTTAGCACAACCAATTTGATACATTTTTTTATTATTATTAAAAGAGGAGCAACACGAGAATTTCTCAGGAGGTCACCCATCTTAATACTACTCTCAACTAAGCACGTTTAACTGCAAAATTCTGATGAAATCCGGTGCATTAGTACTGATATGATCGCACCTTCAACCAATTTGATATGTCTTTAACACAGAATGCAAAAGTGAAAACGTGAAACCCATCTAACTCTTTTCCGTTAGCAATTATCAATTTTTTTTATTCTTTACACAAATATAACCATGCAACTCGTTTCAACAATAGAAGTGACCTAACTATTCGCGATCTTTTTATTGGGCTTGTTTGGAACTGATTTTTTTAGGTAAAAAATTTGTGGTTTAAAAAGTTTTGTAAAAAAATCATATTTAAAAAGTCACCCAAAACTGTTTGAAGTGTTATTTAAAAAGTTGGAAAAGTCTGTTTAAAATGATTTTCTAGTTTTTTTTTTATTTTTTCTATCAAAATTAAAAAAAATAATGCATAATAGTTCCAAAATATGAATTTTAAATTTTTTTATGTCACTAATAATATTTTACATATATAATAAACTAAAAAGTTATATGAGATCTGCAACAACACTCTAAAAAGTTGAAAAAAAAACCTCATAAAATTAGTTTCCTAAATAAGCCTTTTCAGGTCCCGCATAAACTGGTAAAAAAGTCAAGTTCGAAACAGCCATGACTTATTTTAATTTAAAGTCTTAAGAAGCTACATATTTATGTTAACTTCAAACAGGGCCATTAAATGAATACCTTTATATTAAATGGAAAACCTTAGTCGTGGTGTCCTTCTATGAAAAATGGGTCATTAAAAATTTTGTTTCAATCAATTAATCGTGTTGTATTAAGATTGACCCGATTATCATCCATGAAATGCACCCTTTTAAAAATAGATTTAGCCTTTTGCAAGTGAATTTTGATCTTGTGGAGTACAAATTTTTTTTTTTTTTGGAAAATGTTATTTGAACTTAAAATATAAACTTAAATGTGTACTTGATAATCATAACTGTTGACTAGATAATAGATCCCAATAAATACTGAAACTTATAGTGAAATTAATGGTTGTCATTATCAAAGACACTTTTTAAGACTACTTTTTAAATTCATGTAGCATTGCCCTTTTTTTTTTTTTCAATTATAGCATCACTCACCATGACTTCAAGTGAAACCTAATAAAGAGTTCTCCACCAACACATGGTGAGTGATCTATCCTCAAAGAAAATTGAAAGAAAAGAAGGCATGCCATTTGTCAAAGAGGTTAATTAAAAGAAAGGAGGGAATTGGTTAGAATATCATATTCAAATACTTACAAACTGACTTTTGAATAATAAATTAGAATTTGATAAACCGTAGAATGATTTCTCGTAATTTTTTTCAAGAAAAGTTTCTGCGTCGATGTGTTCATATTATTTTTTTTCATTCACACTTTGCAACTAGTTAATAGGTCCATAATGGGGCTATGTTGGCACCTGTTATAGAGTGCTCCCATGTAATCAACTCCCTATGAGCCACTGATAATCTTTTAGATCTTGCTAAGCTGGCCATAACCATTATTGATTTCTTTATTAGTGGTCGGTCTCCTTCTAGAAAACATGTAATAATAAAAATCAGGATTTTACCCACAAATAAGAGGACTAGGATTACTAGTTCACACTTGAAGCTATAGTCCACAATCTGAGGAATTGAGTGCAATATCTATACCAAATTATTGCACCATTAACTTTATAATCCTAAAATGCATAACTAAGAGTCTTGATTGATACATTTGAAAGGGACCCATTTAGGTTACATTGCATTGTTGTCTACTAGAATCGAATTTAGAGGTTACTTTTGGTGGTCCCCAAGGTGTAATTGGTTTTGGAACAAAATGAAGGCATTGCAGAATGAGGCAGTGGATGATGCATTGATGTTTTAAAGACAACTTTTCCCTTGTATTGCTCTCTCTCTCTCTCTCTCTCTCTCTCTCTCTCTCTGGAGAGAGAGGGAGGGAGAGAATATTTGGACAGAATTGATCTAATTGTGTTCGTGTAATATCAAAATTGGCTCAGCTCAAAAAGTACCCATTTATATGTATAACTAAATTCGTGCGCAACGATTTTCATTTATGAAAAGACACGTAATCTTTGTTATGGCCTAAAGCCGTTAACACCAAACTGATATCCAGTAACTTTATTTTGATTTTGTGTGAGGTGAGCAAATCGTGTTAAGAATAAGTTCCAATAGATTGATGTTCAAAGCTGGATATAGGGAAAAGCAAGAACGATTGGGGCATCTAATATGCTCTTTTCCACCTTTTGCCCCTCTTAAGGAAACCAAATCTTCAAAACTATCAAGTGTTACTTGCCAAATCGATGAGAAATGGACCCAAATCCTACCAACCAGATCAAAATCTTTAGCATTTTTCACTGCAGCCATAGTAGCATAATAGTTAGAATACTGCCAATCGCTTACCAAAGGAGAGGTAAGATCAGAGGCTTGATGTTGTACTCCTAATTGGAGAGGCCTTGATGATTATATTCATAGTACCCAACTTGTGGAAAACTTTCCATTCAAAGATATGGGTTTGGGATTGTGTCTGACACATGCACGTGCATGCGTGCATGTGTGCATGTGTGTGACCAAGCGCCTGCGTGTGGTGGTGTGAGGTGGGGGTGAGGGTGAGGGTGAGGGTGAGGGTGAGGGTGGGGAGTGGTGGGGAAGACCATTGCCTTCTCCCTCTTGGCTAGTAAATGCTTACACAAATCTCCAATTTTACACACCCTCCATGGTCTGCCGCAAGCTTTCTTCATGATTCGAATTATGACACCATATGGCCCTTGGCATTCCCCTTCATGCTCACTTTCAGCAAATGAGAGAATCAAAATATGAATCTACCCCCACTCCTGACCCAAGTTCAGAAAAGCAAAACTGTCCTCCAAAATGAAGGCATGCACAATTTTTTTCCTACTTTGCAACTTGGATTCCAAGCCCATCAATGAGTGTTGCCATGTCTCTGCCACAGAATCGGAATCGAAAATTTCCTGTTCCCAGTGGCAGTAAATCTCAAATGAATGCTCATTAGCAAGCAGATCAACAAAAAAATTGTAGTAATTGCACAGGACATACTAATTTGTTTGCAATCTCTAACAGAAACAAAAGAATCATACCTGCTTGTCCCTTTGCTGGGAACTAAGGCTTCAAGCTCATGGAAGCACGTAGGCAAGAGCAGTCTTTCATTGTTTCCAGAGAGCTGTCATCTCTCTGTCCACTCTTCTACTCTCCTAGGCCATAGCATTGGCCCAGAGAGGTCCCAACAAAACCAATCATAGCTCTTCCCCCACAAGAACAAACATATACTGTGTGAAATTCACGTGTTTTATGGACCCATGAATGCCATGCCCACCCAAACAAATCCAAGGTGGTCCGCTAGTCCCTCTCATCCAATCTGAACATAGATACGCGATGTTTGCTTTCGACTACAATGGATTCAAGGAACACTGTCAGCAATCATATCATCAAGACACAACCATAGCCATACCTGTCATCGGAAGTAAAAAAATAACACGTCCCCGGTGAACCCATCACCTTTTCTATAAATGGCAAAAATATCCTTAACATGGAAAATGAAAATTTCAGAGATATATTTGTCTTTGATGAAAAAGGTGAAAATGTGGTTGCAACTGTGAGAAAAAGTGCAAAGATTTGTGAAATCTTACTTTCTAGTGACTTTTTCTCTTCAACTTGGCAATATGTGATGGTTTCTCCTGTAAACAAAAAGACCAAAAAGGATAACTAATAACTAAAAAGAAAACCATCAAAATTCTCCCACCCAAGAAGGCAGTCTTCATACGGATTCTTACCATTAGAGAGAGGTTGACTTTGCCACCCAAATATTTCTCTTTAAATTCCCTCCTCAACCCTCCATTTCCTTGGCTCTTCTATACCTCTACTTTCCATTTTTCTCGGAAAGAAACAACACATACAAGAAACGAGTGCTTTCACATATGCTTTCTAGTCTCAACCAAAGAGAGAAGCAGAAAAAAAAATGAGATACCCAGCTGTTAGTTATGTCAGACAAAATAATATTCTTCTCCTAAGAAGCTTCATGATCTTGTTGCTAAGCTGTGTGGCTATTAAACTAGACCTCTGTTTTTCCAGTATCCCTTCTTCTTTAAAGACACTTAGCCTCAATGGTCATTTCACTTTTGATGAAAATGAATTCGCAGCCAGAGACTATGGCAACAAGTATCATTTCCTCCCCATGGCAGTTCTACATCCAAAGTCAGTTTCAGATATTGCCACTACAATACAGCATATTTGGCAAATGGGTCCAAGTTCAGAGCTTACAATAGCAGCTAGAGGACATGGCCACTCAATCAACGGCCAGGCACAAGCTCAAGGAGGAGTTGTTATCAACATGCAATCACTTCATGGACCAGAAATGCATGTTCACATGGGCAGGTTTCCTTATGTGGATGTCTCTGGCGGCGAGTTGTGGATAAATATTCTGCATGAAACCCTCAAGTATGGTTTAGCACCAAAGTCGTGGACCGATTATTTACATCTAACAGTTGGCGGTACTTTGTCCAATGCGGGGATCAGTGGGCAGGCATTTCGGCATGGCCCCCAGATCAGTAATGTCCACCAGCTGGAGGTTGTTACAGGTTTGTAACAAAAATAATTAAATATAGGACCACAATATGGTGATAGATTGCATCAAGGAATATGAGACCAAGGTCAAGAAGCAACACGTTTGATGAAACGGACAACCACATAACTGGCACCTTTTACTTTGTCCAATCTTTTTTTTTTTTAATCTATTGGAAACTGGGCAAACAAGTTACCCAGTTTCGTTATCACATACGTTAGAATTTGACCTTGTTCTCATGATAGACACCAAAAAAAACCATAGGCCATGTTACTAATTTCTCATGACATGATGCACTTACAACAAAAAGGGCTAAACTGAGTGCAGGGAAGGGAGAAATAATAAATTGTTCAGAAGAACAGAATGCAGACCTCTTTCACAGTGTTCTTGGAGGACTTGGACAGTTTGGCATAATAACTCGAGCAAGAATCTCTCTAGAACCAGCCCCAAAGATGGTAAGATGATATTTCAAACTTTCACAAGTCCAAAATTAGCTGTGTGTGATAGAAATTACCTGTTTCATATATTAATGCTTCAATCTGAACAGGTGAAATGGATTAGAGTGCTGTACTCAGATTTCTCCACATTCACCAGAGACCAGGAGTATTTAATATCTGCAGAGAACACATTTGATTACATTGAAGGACTAGTAATTAGAAACAGGACAGGTCTCTTAAATAACTGGAGAACATCCTTCAGCCCACAATACCCAGTTCAAGCCAGCCAATTCACATCAGATGGGAAAACACTCTTCTGCCTTGAATTAACCAAAAACTTCAACCCTGGCAAGACCAATACAATCAACCAGGTCCTGCATGATTGTCATGATTAATAGCATAATAACAAATCATTGCAAGGAAATGATTCTCATGTTTCTGTTTGTGTTCTCGGTGCAGGAAATTGAGGGCTTGCTATCTCAATTAAGATATATTCCATCTACACTTTTCATGTCAGAAGTTCCATATGTAGAATTCTTGGACAGAGTTCATGCATCAGAGCTCAAACTACGATCAACAGGAATGTGGGAAGTTCCACACCCATGGCTCAATCTTCTCATTCCCAAAAGCAAAATACACAGGTTTGCTGGAGAAGTTTTTGGCAACATAGCAACAGATACAAACAGTGGCCCTGTCCTCGTCTTCCCGGTCAACAAGTCAAAGTAATAGTTCCATGAAGTTATCTATGCAATAAATTTTCAAATCTTTGGTCGCGTGACTCATTGATTCACTAATATTTTTTCAGGTGGGACAACAGAACCTCATTCGTTGCTCCAGAGGAAGATGTTTTTTATTTAGTTGCATTCCTTTCCCACGCAATTCCCTTGTCCACAGGAACCGATGGTTTAGAACACATCTTAACTCGGAATAAAAGAATTTTAGATTTCTGTGAGGCAGCCCACCTTGGAGGAAAGCAATATCTGCCCCATTATACTACATACAAAGAGTGGCGAGCCCACTTTGGTCCACGCTGGGAAGTCTTCCAACAGAGGAAATCAGCTTATGACCCTCTGGCCATCCTTGCTCCTGGCCAGAGAATTTTTCGAAAGGCAATATCCATCCTATGACATGGGTAACACTTCTATTAAAAGGAGAGAAGGGACATATACGGTGCGGAATTTCATGCTCCACGCACTGATTATGGTGTTCTATCCTCCGCAACAAGATGATGCCTTACAGCATGTGCGAAAAAGGCTAGAGGCATTTTGCTGAGTTTTACTAAAAGGAGGGAAGGTCCTTATAGATGGCTAGAGGCAATTCGTGTAAATTTGTTAATATTATTTCAATATTTCTTCCACCTTTCAGCAAGTGTAGGTGTATAATGGGAAGGCTACCACCTGGTTGAAACTTTATTAACTCAAGTTAAAGATGTACCTGAAATATGAATTACTTAATTGCAATTGTAAAAGGACTGGAGAATATTAGCCCCGGACTGGATGCATATATATCAGTTTGTCAAACAAAGATCTTACTGATTTTTCTAATAATGTCTTAATTCTTAAAACAAAGCATGAAAGCGTCTCCAAGAATGAAAATACCCTACAACTGCAGCAGAAAAAAGTGTATTACCTCTATCAGACTGAAGAAGCATATATTATGTCTGAACAATAAAAAAGAGCACATAAAGAGAAAAGAAAAAGGACAAAGCAAGCAAACTAGGCTAATACGCTAAGTGCATCTAAGTACTAAAAACTATGGACAGAACTTAGACACACACAGGAATATAGACCTATTCATTGCATTGACTAACCTATTACTAATGATATCATCCCATAAGACGAAGAAGCAATGCTACCATAATTCACAGAACTGTTAAGAGGCACATAAGTAATCTAGTTGTTTCAGATTCCAAGTGATGGTATCATCAATTCACACTATGGTAAGTAATTTAGTTGCATCAAATGCAGAAGAGCTCAAACATTAGGTCACCCAAAACTAACTTCCTCAAAAAATGCAGAGTAATTAATAACATAAAGGGTTAGGAGGAACTATTTGCTTCCATGCATTTTGTTGGTTGACAACCAACAAAAGTTCTCTGCAGTTCTTCATTACCCATCCACTGAAGGAAGAGTAAGGGACTCACATATAAAAAAACTTGTTATCTGTGCTAGCTTACATGTTTTCTAAATCCTATTTGGAAAGCACCTTGATCCTGTCTGAATATGTTTCAAATATCATATGTATGAACTACCAGATTCCGGCACCTCGTAGTTCATCCTATCTTCAATTTTTATTGGCGCAAAAATCCTTTCATGAGGATGTAGAGTTTGAATGAAAACTATGCTGTTATGAAGTAAATAAAAAGAATATGTCAAAAAGCATTCATTCTAAAGCAGTATGATGCAAAGATGATATTAATGATCTGCAGATTTTAACCAAGTGTGACAATAGCCACCTTGTGTAACCAAGCCAGAAGTTGAGTATGCACGCAAGTCTGTTCTTTCTAAATCGAAACATGGGTTAATGGCCATCTTTTTCCTTTTCTGTTTTTTTTTTTTTTTTTGGTTGCCTAAGTGATAATGACAGCTAGAGACAGCATAGAAAATCTACAAGTGGAGAAAATAAAAAAGTGAAATGCAGAATAATTAATCATTTCTTTTTCTTGATAACTTCCTTCTTTTTTAGTCAAATATTAACGTCACTCAGATTGATCTTGCATAACAATAAATGAAATAAAAAGGATTGGTGTTTAAGATACTAAATGTCCACTTCTAGAATCATTTATGATTCGTCAAAAAAAAAATTAAAAATTTATTGTTTTCCTGTTTCTTTCTTCCTGATGAATTTTGGTCACGTTAATCACTTTTTGGCATTTTTATCCAAGTGAATTCAGCTGACGCAGCCTAGGAGGGACCTAGAAAGAAAAACAACTCTGAAAGAGAAAAAGAAAATAATAAGCCGTTCAAGAGATTCCAGAATTTGAACATCAAATGACACAGACCTGTTGCAGCAAAAGTTTAACAGTTCAAGCAGTGCAAGCTTCTGTTCACCCCCTGCACCCTTGTAAATTACCAAACAAAAAGCAATATTCGTGTGGCCACCTCTAAGATTCTAGAAAGCATCATTCCCTTTCTTTCAAACCCCTCAAACTTCCAGTAACTCTTCTCCAAAATGAAGTCATGACCTCATAAAGTGAAGCACCAGTTTGTCATGGGATGCAAATGGACCTTTTCATGAGAAAATTCGTAAGGGATTAGATTAAACAAGAAATATACTAATGGAATTGACAAATGAAAGAAACACTAAAGTCACTCTGGCTACAGTTGATACAACATTTGCATCCAGCAAGTAGACATAACCCTAGCATATCAGATCAGGATGCAGCAAGTAAAGAAGTCCTCATCATGCAAAAAGTACCCATCCATCTACAGAAACACTGAAGCCATCATTTATGCCACTACATGTAAACTTTACATCGGAAGTAAAAACGCCAAAATCTTTTGTTACCTCTAACAGCAAGTGGTTGCATTGCCTGAAGACATTGTTCACTCCAATGTTGCTTTTTCAGTGGCAGTAGCATTTGCTGTTGGTGAATTGGACACCAAGAATGAGGTGCACTTTCTGTCTTAAGCATCCATTCGAACGTTTTATCAGTGCCTGACTGATTAGTATGCTACTAATAACCATCAAAGTATTATTCATGATGAAAATCTAAGAAACGAAAGCAACATTCATTCATACACTTCTCCTCAAAACCCAATGAACAGGGTCAAGGAGCAAAGATTGCCCTCCAAAAGGCATATCAAAAAATATTAGTCAATGAATTATGTGCAGCCACTAGGCTGAGCAGGACACATAAAGCTGCATCTATTCCAGATTCCAATGATGAGACGATGATCTATATCATACGTTTTAACTGTACATTTTAGTTTCCTTTTGCTAAAGTTTATTGATAGATTTACAAAATGGTTAGCTTCTGACTTCGTACATTCAAAACTCAGAAAACAAAATATATTTCTGCTTTTATATTTGCTCGAAAGAATGCAACCACCATATTAAAATGAGACAATCAAGAACCATTTCACTCATAGGAATCAAAATTTTAAAAAATCTCCCCCTTCAAAATGAAGCCAAATCTGGTCAACGGGAACATCAACTATGTTCATAATCCTCAAAGGAGGTGTTTATTATCTTTAAGCACTCCAACAAGTGAGTGGAAGACATTAGAAGTCCCATAGAAGTGATTGAAACCTTTTCCCTGTTGGTTTCCATCTCACCACTGTAAAACACACTCTTTACTGTTTCCCCTCTTAGCATGAAAGGATGCAATCAGCAGATAGTACTCTCTGCAAGATAGGAAATTTCTTTTCATAGTGAAAAGGATACGTAGGAAAAATCATTCTCTTAAATGCGACTGTCAACTCTTACATGAGAGACTAAAAAAGAAAATAGACATGTGAAAAAGACTGGCTGCCCTTTTTAAAACCTCCGGAAAAGACGAGATTATAATAGTCTCAACTCATCTTTTGATTCTTCATTATGATATCTGCTAGGACAAATCACTTTTGTATATCCTCCTCAATAACCAAAAAGATTATTTCATTTTCAACTGCTTGATATGATTATACGTTTTTGCCTTGCAAAAGAGCCTTCTCTACTGTGTACCTTGTCATTTATTGATATTTTGTTAAGTAAAGATGTTATTGATATAATTCTCTTTTCTAAATCAATTTGTTCATATATACGAAAAGATAGAATATTATTAAAATGAAAAAAGAAAGTAGTACATGACAGGATGAGTCCTCCAAAGATACATCAAAAAACAAAAGGAAAACCAAAACAAGTACAAATCAAAATTACAATAAGATAAAAACAAAAAAAATCAGTGACTTCACCAACCGCATACTTGAGCCGTCGTTCGACGTGGACACTCAAAGAGATACCATAATAGATGCTTTATCTCAAAGATCTTCCCAAGGATCCTTCTTATCCTAAAAAAAATTCACTTTTTTTTTTCAACCAAACCACCCAAAAAAAGCCAATGCCACACATCTCCATAGGGCCTTATAAGGGCAGAGCTACACATTCCTTTCACTAAATTTTTTTTGTCCAAATATTTTTTTATATAAATTTTAATATATTCTAAATTTGCCGCCATAGAAAAATCTCGTACATTTTAATTTACTCAATAATTTATATTCTAACATTAAGATTAAATTTCTTTACTCAATTAAGTAAACTTAATCATTGTTTATTTAATGGAATCTCTCAAACATGTGTTCAAGAAATTTTGAAACTTTTGTTTCCTCCTCGATATCTTGCCCCCTTTCTCTCACTTTCGTTAATTTTGATACATCGAACGATAATAGTATTATGTAATACTTCTATAATATAAAAATTTTGCTCCATTATGATCTAAACATTAAGGATTCCATGCAAAAATATATTCTCTCACATGCGGGATAAGGCTATGTCTATGAAGCACAGAGACTTCATTAAGATCGACGTATCCGTATCGAAGACGATACTCGTCGCATATTCTAAGATATATATTGAATACGCATCATACGTATCCGATAATTAATAAAGTATGTGAATACTTCACCGATACTTCTACCTATTAAGCAAGATATATAATTTTTAATTTTAATCTACTCTCCTTTTGAGTTCACACACGATGCAATACATCAACAAACATCTATTTGACTTTGAAGACACGAGTTTTTTAAAGTATTATTTATTATTACATGTCAAAAGAGTATAAAAAAATGAATTAGTTACACTATAATGTTAGAAACAAATAATTCAAAAAAATCAACTAGTTAAAAGTTGGTTCAGATTCCTTTAATTGGTCACGTTTATATTGTGGATATCTATAATGAGGTGACATTACACATTTTTTAAGGTAAAAATTATTAATTTTGTTTACTATTGTTAAAGAATTACTAAAAATTATAATTTTAAGTCGTTCGATAATAGTTAAATATAAAATATATTTTATTATAGACATATCCTAGCGGTATCTTATCCTATTTTTTTTATTTTGTGTATTTATATCGTATCGTACCAATATCTTGTGTTTGTATTCGTGTTTCATAGGGCTATGTACATTTAACCTCAAACCTTACAATAGTACAAGCTACATGCTTGGCAACCTCTATTACTGACAGATAATTGGAAGGCTTAATTTGATAATTTAATATATTGTCATCGTTGAATTAGTACAGAGTCTCAACATTAAATGCATTTTATTTGTTAATCTAACGGTAGTAATGAATTAACTTTTCAAATTTAGTGCATGTAATATTGTTGTTACTAAAACTTTTGCCCCCACTACCGCAAGTTTGTGGCTTTGTCCCTGTGGGCCTTGGCCTTTGTACTTAAACCAATGCCATCAAAATTCATACTAAGCACTAAATCACAACCTGTAGGAACCACCCATGGGATCCCCACAATACCCAAGAGTCTCTTCCACAACTTCAAGACAAAAGCATAATGTGGAAACAAATGGTCCATGCACTTGACATCTTTCTTACACGGGATACACAATTGCAGTTACGTGGTATAGTATTTCTTCCAATACATGATATGGTGGGGGTACACATGGTTGGTATGTTGTTTTGGTCAAAATATGAGTTTAAAGGACAACATAATAAAGAAATAACAAGTTAGAGTTATGATTTGGGATTTTGATTATAATTTGAGATTACTTAAATCATGAATCAATATGTTATTTGAGTTATAATTTGGAGTAGGAATTTTGAGCGATCTAGATCGCAAATTCACCCATTTTGGGTCATACGATTCCGGTTCGTGGAATGCTAGTGATATCTACGATCCCAGTATCTATGAGATGGCCTTCTTTTTTGGAGTATCTCATTATTATTTAGTTGATATGTGCAATCAATCATGCAAAAACTTGGACCACCAATGGGCTTTACTTTTCCCAATAAAGGAATAAGGATCAAAGGTTGGAAGAGATGAATTATCGATCAAAGAATCAAAGAAAGATTCACAAGAAAACATACCCAAAAAGAAAGGTTCCAATTTCTTCTATCAAGAAGATTGATCTCAACCCAATGCTGTCAAAAAGACCCAAAATATAAGAAAATACACCCACTTCCCTATCTCTCAAATGTCTTAAGAAGTTAAAGTTCCAATTAATGGTGGAAGAAGACGAGGAAACCATACTAGTAATGGATGAATAATAAGATCTAGATAACCAACATAGACTAGGAAACAAAGAAGTAAAAGAAGACTCACCCACCTAAACATATTCCTGAAAGTGAATTTTCTCCGCATTACCTATAACATACTAGAAGCTTTGTGGAAAAAAAAAAAAGGAATAATACTTGTGAAATGAATGTCCAAGACTACTGAGAAGAACCTCTCTCTCTCTCTCTTTCACTTTAGAATCTCACCAATTATCATGAAATTATATTTGTTTTTGACCACAAAATTTCAAAGACTATTTTGCTCAATGGGAGAATCCCCAAAGCCATTTACTAAGAAAGGCAATGTTTCTAGCTTTTAGGCAAGTAACCAAATTTCTTTTCGAAAGAGTCAAAACGTCCAAAACATTTATGTTTTCATGCAAACCTAAACGAATCATAACTCAATATTAAAATTCCTATATTTCAAGGTGTTTCAACGTATTTCGACGTGTTTTAAGGTATTTCGATCAATATTTTGAATATAAAATTTAAATTTTTGTTGCTTTGTCTCTACCTTGTTTGCAAAAATTATTGAAATGTTTCGTTTCCAAACTAACTGAATTCATGTATCGCAACGAAATTTTAATTCTTGCATTCAAGAAAGCTACTTAAACAAAGAATGAGAGACCACTTAAAATGGTAACATTTGCTAGTTAGGAAGAACATGTCCCCAGTATATGACAATCATCATAATTTGAACCTTGATTATATAGAAAAAAGAAAGGAAAAGGAAACAGAAAGCCATAACCATCAAACAGATAAACCAAGCGCATTAATAAAATCATTCATTTAGAACACTGAATTGAAGATACAATGCTAATGTTAAAGAACAAAACAAAACCAATTGCAATTTAGGATCACCTAGCATGCCCACTGATACATAGTTTCCACTGTGTTGCACTTCAGGAGGACATTTGTATACCAATCTACCTACTCATTATTCTCCTATTAAAAATATTATGCATGAAAAAAAATTATTAGTTCCTAAAGGAAAGAATAAGAAGAAGAAGATGATGATGATGATGATTGTATCAGAAACAAATCTTCAATTTTTTCTCTTCTTATATCTATTTCCAAAATATTTCAAAACTTTTTATTTTCTAGTTGACCAAACCTATGCACCAAAACGAAAATTTGATCTTTGCTTGCAAGTTACCAAAAGCTAGACCTCCCTTAGTTTTAGATTGAGACGCCACATCCTAACTAACTAGATGATCTTTCTTGACTTCACCACTACCTTGCCATAAAGAATCTCATCATTTTCTCAATCGTTTTACCCTTGACCAAAATTATTTTTTCCTCCCATCAAGCCTTTTCCCAATATTATGAATTACTGGCTCCCAAAAACTAAGGGCTTTTGGATTTTCCTATAAGGGTAAACCCAAGTACTTTAGAGGC